TGTGGCATTCAGAGCCACACAAGGTCATTTGCTCTATGAGTGGAAGCAAATAAGTCTCAGGACAGGTAACCTCAGGTGCTTGTAGAGGCAGTGAGTGAAATTCAGAGGAAATTCAGATTTCACACCCTGGAGCGCACAGCTTGCTGCCACAGCTTACTCCAGAGGAGGCAGGATTGTCTGTGTGATGCACTGCGCTGCTGCAAACGCCAGCATGGCCAAAAGCCACCCTCTCCTCTGCTTGCGCAATAGCTTAGAGGTGTGTTTGCTTGGTGAGCCCTCCTCTCCTTTGCACAAGCACTTGTGCTTTGCACAAGCACTCATGTCCTTGTGCAGAGGAGCCTGAAGCGGGGCACCCCAGGCCCCACAGTGCCTCTGTGGTTGAGCAACAGGCTGCTCCCAAGTGCCACGCACACACTCGTCACCCGGTGGCTGATCGCATGATTTAAGGCAGGAGGGGCTGATTCATTCTTTTTGGCTGTGATTCTGCGTCCAGCACAATGTGGGCAGTTTGGTTTGTTTCTTTACTCTCCCTGCCCAGCAGGGCTGGCCAGGCAGTGCCAGCGAGGGCAGCCCTGGGAGGACAAGGTGCTGCTAACGGTGATGGGCGCTTGCAGGGAAGGTGAGGGGGAGCCCTCCAGCCGGCCCGCTCCACCACCAGCCGTGCAAGGGGAGCTGCCAGGGTGCAGCTCTGGCATGGAACAAAGGGAAGACTTCTGCCAGCTGCCCCCACAGCCTTTGGCTGTCTCTGACAAAAATAGCTGCTCTCCTCCATGCCATGCAGCAGGCAGGCAGGCAGCTGCCTGCACCCACCTGGGCAGTAGGGCTTTCTTTTTCGGTTTATCGCATGGCATCTATTTTAGCAAGTTAGCTGCTCTTGAGAGGCTTTGCTCATGGAAACACCTGCCTGCTGCTCTGCTCGACCCAGCCAGCCCCCGAGCTTAGTGGGCAGCCGGTGTTCCCACCTCATACCCTCATTGTGCCTGAAGGTGGGCTGTGAGGGTGTCTTGTTATTTCTCTTTACAACAGAGCTCCATCTTGAAGGACTCTTCATGAAGTATCTGGACCTACTTTATAGCAACTCTAACGCAGCTGAAACAAGGCATAAGCCCAGGCTTGCAGTTTGAATCCTTTAATTTTATGGGGTGGTGGGAGGACATGAATCCCTTTTCACAAACCTAATTTTACAAGTTGCGTTTGAAATGCCTGTAAAGAAAGGCAGAGGGCCCAGCTGACCCTCTGCAATGATGGAGAAGGAAGACCCAGTTTCAAGGCAGGACAAATGCAGAGACCAGCCAAGGGCTGTGGGCTTCGTGGCCCTGAGAAGCATCCCTTTTCCTGGAAACAAGTACTGATTGCGGAAATGAAGGAGCAGGGCCTTCGGTGGGGTTCTGCATTGCACTAAACACTGCAAGGCCTCCATCAGCCCTCAGCATAGGTAAGAAATGAGATCCGGCAGTTAAAGGTCTCTGATGCTTTTGTTTTCAGAATTGATCATCAGTTCTGATTGCCTTCACTTTGGGGTGTTCGTCTCAGGACAGCTTCAGCAGAGCTGGCTTGCAGGGGCTGCAGAGCACTCCTCTGAAAGCCTTTGAAGGCTTCTCAGGAGGGAAAAGCGAAAGAGCGAGTTGATTTGCTGTTGCTGAAAAATGCAGTCCAGGAACGCAGCCGTGCGTGGTCCCCAGAGGCACTCCCTGCTGCAGCTGACCTCATCCTCTTGCTGCAGCACAGCAGCATCCCCCTGAAACTGAGGGCCACTGCACTGCGAGCAGCAGTGGGACGCAGCTTTTGCGCACTGCAGCTGTCCCTGTCCTTTGCAGGATGCGTTTCGGCCACGGTTGGGGTATGCAGCTGTGTCATGAAACTTGGTCCAGGCAGGGCAGGGGAGCCAGCTGTGTGGCTGCTTCTTCCCTTTCATCCCACCACACACTGCAGGAAGCACTCTGCAAAAAGACTTCAGTGCCTGACTAAAATTACCAGTTTTTTCCTGTTCCCCCTCTCTTTGGATGTGGAATCTGTTTGGTGGAAAAAGTAAAAGGGGAGAGCAGATGAACGCTTCCTGTGGTCACTCATTTTCAAACTCCTTCTTTAACAAACTCTCCCAAATTTTCCCTCATTAGACAATATGATCAGCACACAGATGATGGAAATTGGAGGACATCAGCCATCCGTTCATGGAGACAGCAGCCTCCCCATGGACAGCAGGTCCAATCTCTCACATGACTGTATGAGTGTCGCTTCCCTCCTGGCAGTGTGCCCCTGGCAGATGTCCCAAGAGTCCCTGGGTCCCAAGGGCACAGAGACCTTCCCCAGTACATCACCAGGTTTCTGGCATTCATCAGCCCTGCTGTAACCCCGTGCTTCCCATGCATCACCACTTGCCCAAGAGATGCTTGCAGTAACTGGTCTGCACCCTTGTGCACCTGAAAACAATGGCGTAGGTGATGATGAAAAGCAGTAAAACAGAGGGAAGGAGTGCAGGACTTCAACTTGACACTTGCTGTCTCTCATTGACGGGTAGAGCTGTCTGCTTACACCACTGCAGCCAACCCCTGGGATGGTGCAAAACAGCCAGCTGCCAATTGACGTCAAAGGAGCGCTGGTGGTTTGAGTGAGCTGAGGGACTGCTTCTACCCAAGGTGGGTTTCCAGCACCACAGAGAAATGTTTAAATCATCCCCCTCTGCCTCCTTCGGCCCCAGGAAACAAGTGCCTTATTTCATTCATTGGTTGGTTTGGTTATGGCAAGAATCCTGCCCATATTTTGGCTCCTTGGATGTTTGCTGAGGACTGAGCAACCCAGATAATGCTAGCAAAGAGCAGGGGAAGGAAAAGACAGGGGAAAGGTGGGGTGAAGCCAAGTTTAATCTCCTCTTTCCCAGTTTGTGCCACATGTTTCCAGACAGAACTAAAGCCATCTATTTTTTCTTCACACATTGCCTGCAATGTTTTTGAGGCTTGTGAAAAAGTGAGATGCTGAGTGCCTGCCACCCTTCTCCTCTTCCTCTTCAAATCACGGCCTGAGTTTGAAATTTGTCTGGGCCAAGGCAGTTAATTTGAACTGGGTGCATTTCCGCCTGACTGCTCGAGTTCTCCTTCAGCCATACTTTGTTTTGTCTTATACCTATTAATTATAATCCCCAAATCTTTGCTTGTCTCCATGCAGATTTGACAGGGATGATGTCAGTACATTTTCCCTAAGCAAGTACTGTAAAAGCTAAAAAGCTAACTTATATCTAGCCCAGGCCTATGTATTTAACTGCAACATATCTTTGCAAACACAGAGTGATTCCTATGGGGCATGTTTGGGGTAGTCAATGTGTTGACTTCCGTCCACTTTTTGGGTCAGGCCTGAGCTCTTGAATCAGTCTGTATATATTGCTGCCAATACATGAGGCTGCACTTTTTAAGATTGTCCAAAACAAACATGCCTCGGGTGAGACGAGGGTATGGACTATCACGTGAAAAGTTTTATGATAACAACTGACTGCATGTTTGCTTTCATATGGCATTGACTCTTATTTCCCTGATTATTTTTAGTCTTCAAGGCTGTCCCTTAATCAACCCGCTTTATTGAATAACTTGTTTTCCTCTAGTGTGATGCAGCAGGTCTAACGATGCTTTCTATTAAGCATGGGAAATATTAGCCCACAGCTAGGAGCAAGTGAGAATGAATGTCCTGCATGGACTGTTCCAAGGCCACTGAACTGGGCACAGACTTTTTCAACTATTTCAGGGGCCTTGAATCAGGTCCTTACAGTCACTGAAAACAGAAAACCCATCAAACTCCAAACCAGCCAAAATCAACATGTTCCTTTTAGTGGGAAAAATCTTAACAGTAACATGTGCCATGCCTAGACAAAAATAAATCAACCAAATATTTATTCCTCTTCTACTCTACCTGCTGTTTTCCTCCTAGGTGAGGATTTGTGGCCCCAAAGCTGAGCAGAGCTAAGGACTGGAACAAGCCTGGCACCAAGCCCCAGCTGCAGTGAAAGATGATCCCATGGTTGAGAGGAGAGGTGAAGGAGAAAACGCTTTCTGAGCAGGTTGCTTTAAAGAGTAAACAAGGATTCAAAGCTGTTTGGAAATGCGGAATGCTGCAGTAAATCTGGGAGGAGTATGCCACCAGGATTGGTATTTTGACACACAGCTGCCTTGATCAAGTCATGCCATGATTCAGGCCTCTTTTGCACTCACACATGGTCAGGCACCTACATAAAGCTGTGGCTTTCCCATCCACTGCAGCTTTTGGTGTGGTTTTATGTACATCCGTGTGTAAACTTCATGTTATATAGTGCCTCCTCATCTCCCTCTCTGCAAGGGTACATGTGTATATGTGCCAACATGGGCACAACTACAGCTGTCCATCCAGGTACATGTCACAAACAGCACAAGTTCACCCATGGGTCAATACAGCATGTTGCTGCCCACAGATCCCTTCAAGAAACGACAGTTTCCCTTGGGAATGTGGGTCATCCCAGCGGCCCTGCATGCTCCCGCATGCCTTGTTGCCCAGTGTGACACCTTCTGAGCACATCCTGGTCTCCAGCGGCTGCCCACAGGTCCTGAATTTTCCCTGAATTATCAGCTGAAATTTCCAGTGACTGCAGTGGTGGCAGGGCCTCTGAGGAAGCAGGGGGCCAGGTCCTTCCTGTTCCCACCACGAAATAACCACACATGCCACTTCACTAATGAAACCCACTTGTCGCCTATTACCAGGCAATTAGCTTGTGTGATTTTCAAGCCCTGTCTCCCTGTGATTTTTTTGACAATTTGCTAGGAACAATGGTGTAATCAGTGACTGGAGCACATTTGGAGGAGAGCAGGGATGTCTCTGGAGCCAGTCTGCAAATTGTGCCTCCCCTGCCCTGGCTAAGCAGAGGCTGTTCGCACGCAGCACGCAGACCTGGTGCCTGTTTCCAGAGCTGGTGGGAGATGCTCAAGGAGCCAAGTCCTGCCACTTTGGAACACAGGGAAGCAAGAGAAACACTGAAACCTGAGTGGAGTGAGTGACAAAAGTTTTATTAGAAATACAGTGGAAATGCCACTCCTGTTAACCCAGAAGTGCAGAATTTTGCAAGCTGAGATCCTAGCATTTCCTTTTATGTATAAGGAAAAATGCTGAATCTGAAAACAGTAGCCTTAACAGAATATATATAGATACATGAGTACAGCCTATAAACTGCCCTTCCCCACCTCCCAGCCCAGATGATAGCTTACAAAATCTAATTCCTGTGGTGACAGCAAAGTCTATCAGCAAAAAGCCTGGCTGCCTGTGTCCCCATCTGTTGCAGCACTCTGGTGTTTGGGAAACTCAGACCAGCAGGGAGAAGCCCATACAAATACACTCTTTTTCATGTTCCTGACCTAACAACACCTTGGATCAAGAAACCCCAAAGCATTTAGACTGCCTGATTTATGGTGGTTTGTTTTCTGTACTGTTTCACTGTTTCTCAGCACATCTGCAGGCTTGAGCAGTGAAACAGGACAGGAGGCTTTCACTTTTCCATCAGCTCCCCTCGGTTCCCCTTGTGACGTGCTGCTTGCCTGCTTGGATTTGCAAGGTGGAAGGGAAAGTGTAAATGTCTGTTTTCTATTTTTGCATTGTGATTGTTCCCTAAACTATCCCACCAAATCCCTAGTGACCGGTATATTCAATAAGACAGCGATAGCTCCAGGGCTTGGTTGACTTGGGCACATTATGGATCTGGGCCATCAGCTTCCCCTGCCCTCCCTGTGCCAGCACTGGCAGCTGTGGAGCTGGAAGAAAATGTCCCAGAAAAAGAAGTGAGGGTGGCTCCACATTGCTCTGCATCCATCCAGCAGTGACGCTTCCAGCCAGCCTCAGAGAGGACAGATATGCAAAGGCGTCCTCTTGTCATAGTTTTAGTGAAAGAGATATCCCACACTGCAGTAAGAATAAATCCTTCTTCAGTTAGTTTTGGGACATTTAAAAGCGGAGTTCTCTTTACATGGCCACAGAGAGTGAAATGGGGTTAAAAACCTACCTTTCTCAAATGTTTCATTTCCAGGATAATCAGGGCTCTTAGTGCAGAGGGCTGCCTCAATCAGTGTCACTCTCTGTATGTCCTGTAACTTGAGGTCAGCCCTGCTGACTGTCCTAATACAGCTGACAGAATTCAAATCACCCTCTGCAGATTGTTCTCCTGCTTCAGGCTGGGCTCTCACTCGCATTTGACTGGCTCTCAGATGCCCATTACAGGCAGGAATACCTTGGTGAACCCAGTGAAGCAGGGAGTCATTTGTGAGCTTTGGTGGGTCTCAGATCCATGCTGTCTCTGCAGTCACTCACTGTAAGCAGGCCTTAATGGCTAAGCTGTATTGTGAAGATGGGTTTGTGGAGAGGGAAAGCATTATGGTAACACATGAAATATGCATTACCCATATCTTCTTAAAAAAAAGAAGAAAGAAATCCCCAGCCACCCTCAATGAAGTTTAGATGAGCCTTTCAGTTGTTTGCTTGGATAAAGGCATGGAAATCCAAATCCAAAAGATTTTTTGGGTACGAAACCCAAAAGTACCCCAACTTTGTAGATGCAATCTTTGCTTATAATACTTGACTACAGAGCAAATTAAGGGGAGGACAAATGTTACTGATTAGTGATTACAGAAGGCAGAAGCAGAGCAGAAAGCAGAAATTCCAGGGAGTGGGACCTGCAGAGCCCTGACATGAATTAGCATCAAAATACATCTTCTTGATACAGATGCTGGGGACCGTGTGTGACCACTAAAAAATGAGCTCAGGAAGGCATTTTCAGCTGAGGGTACAGAGCTGCCTGATGTGACATGGCAGAGAGCTTGCATATGTCTCAGGAAAACTTGTCCCTGCCTTGGGATTTGTTACAACAGGAGAGAACCCTGACTTCAGCTGCCTGAGCCTGGTGGGTGCCCACCGCCTGCCCCGCGCCTTAAGGAGGCTTTGCGCTTCGTACTTGGGACTGAGCTGCTGTTGTTCCTCTGCACGTCCCTCGAATCCCCCTAAGCCAACACCCTTTGCTAAGACCGAAAAGCATTTTCCAGACGCAAGCAGGAGTATGTGGGAGGGTGGGTGGGTGGGGTGCAGGGGACTATGAAAATTTCAAGAGGACGCATGCCATCCTGGCTTTCTAAATATAGAGGACCTGAACCATGGCTCCTCTCACACGCCAGCAGCGTGCTTTCTGTTTCGAAAGGCCCCTAAAGCAAATATTGCACTGGCTGGTAGAGTGAAGAAAAAAAAAGGAAAGAGAGTAAAAATGAGCCCTGTGAGTTGATTGCAATTTCCAGCGCTGTTGCGCAAAGCCGCTCTTTAGGCAAAGCTCCAAGTGGTGCCCACACAGGGCTGACAAGGTGCAGATGGCCATCACGTGAAGGTGGTGGTGGGAGGAGTGGGCTGGTGGCTGCCCCAGCACAGGGTCAGGACCAGCAGTGCTTCCCCATCGCCCATCAGCACGTCTGTCCAGCGGCAACAGGGGATGGAGAGGGGCACAGCATGCAGCCCCCCCATCGGGAGTGGCTGCCACCTCGGTGTGGTTGAGAATGTGACATTTTGGCTCTGTGTAAGGTGCTGTGTCTCGGTTCCCTTTTCATTGCCATTATTGTCGCTCCAGTATTTGCATAGCACAACATCAAAATGTGTCAGAGCCAGAGGAAAGCGGTAGCTGCTGTTTCTCCTTTTAAAAACCAAGCAGTTATTCATGTGACACCATCACTGTCTGCATGTGTTTGGGGTGGAGGAGCATGCATGTCACCTTTGGAAAAGTTCTGCAGAGCTGAATTTAATCAAGACTGACAATCTTTAAGTCAAGCTATAAAATTCAGTAGAGAGTTATATCCCAGTAATAGACCCTATTAGAGGGTCTAGTGCAGTCTATAGATAGGATCTCTTCTCTATTAAATTCTCTAGGGCTTGAGTTCTCATTTACACAAAGGGCCCCTTCACCTGTGTAAAATGGCCATAAAGTAGGTGTAAAAATGATTGATGCTGTCTTTACAACCCCTTTACACTGGGAAAACAGTGTAAAGTGACCAGGGTGCAAATGAGAATCCCACCTGGGTTTGTGAGAGTAAATTACATCAAACCCTTCACAAATTCTGTGTGTCCATAGCGGTTTAATCCTACTCCTTTCTGTGGAATTCACCCAGAGAATACATTTCCAAAAAGAAAGGTGTTTTTATTCAACAGCTCTGGCCTTTCCAAGCCTTTTAGTCCCAGTCTTTCTCTTGGTGCAGTCCATGTGGACTCTGACATTGGGAAAAGGCAGGGAGCTGTCTGAATATATTGTGGTTGGTGAAAAACCTTTAATTAGTACTTTCTGAAAATCTTGATCCAAGCAAAATATGTGTAAAACTGGGGGGAAACAGTTCAGAACGCTACCATGTCCATTTCCCCATGTCTTCTCTTTGGATTTTATGCTCTTGGAATATATAAAGAGGAAATACTGAAGTTAGTCTTTGCTAGATCAAAATGCTCCGTATTTATTCATTAAGCAGCAAAGCACCACCAGAATACATGATGAATATTGTTTTCTTCCAGAGCAAAGGTTTAAGCTGCAGCACGCTGATCAGTGAACCGAAGTCAGCAACGGCGGCCCCCGGAATTGGAGGGTGCACTTCTGTGAAGGTGCGCACCTTGCTCAGTGGAGCAGGGTCTCTTATCCAGATCTTCCATCTTTTCCCTGTTGCTTCACTGGAGGCATTTTCAGGACTCTGAGATCATTACCACCATGTCTTTCACGCTTTAGAGGAGTCCCAGCAAGTTTAATCCCGGGAGTGGGTAAGGCAGAGTCCAGGCAATGCAAGCCCAGCCCCATCTAACAGAGCTGGCCTCTGGAAGCCCAGCACTTTGGAGGTGTTGGGAGACAGGGAGTGAAAACGTGGGTGAAATGGAGGTCAAAGGATTAAGGAGACAAAAGCCTGCTCTGGTGGAAATGCCACTCAGCCAGGGCCAGCCAGGACAGCTGTTTCTCACAACATCTTGCTGCTGCCAGCCTGCAGACAGCACAGCCTAGAGCCCTGCACACCAAGTTACCTTCTAAACAGGGATATTTGGGAAAGGGCAGGGTGGAAAACATACCCTGCTCTGCCAGCAGAGCCTTCCTCTTGCTTCACTAGCCGTCAGGGGGCAGCGCCTGGTGGCAAGGGTGGGAGAAAGGGCCAAAGCTCAGCTGTCATTCAGCCTCCCCTCAATTCCTTTCCTGCTTCTTGTTATCTTCTTTGCAGAGGCGAGACCACGTTTTTGACTGGAGGGAAAAGCAGGGACAGCAAGGGTCCTGTAGGTAGGAGGAAGTTCTGTCCTCTGCCGTGCACTTCCACAGAGATCACAGCTGGAGTCATGTGAGGAATGGGGGGACAAACCATCATCTGAGTACAAGTAGCAGGTGAAGAGGCACGCCTGTGCATCCATCTCGTATAGAAGGCTGGCTGTGGTACAGGTCCACAAGAGCTGCTTGCAAACACACTCCAATGGATTTGAGGAGACAGACTGGTTCCTGGCACCACACAGATGGCCCCGCCAATGCTGACAGCAGGGTCTTACATCCCCAGCCTTCCTGTACCTTCCACTGCTATCTCAGCTTGCTCCAAGCATGCCTGAGAGCCAGGCTTAGGACGTTGGGTGTGTGGTGACACGTATGCAAGCAAATTGCCCCACAGTCAAGCTTACTAGTGACTACTATTTTTAGGTGCATAAAAAAAAAGACCATTTGGAAGCTGGTCTCAAAATCCTTCATTTTCTGAAGCTCCTCTCTTTGCAGCTTGGCAAAGAGCACCCTGGTGACACTATGTCTACTCTAGAAACGCATTCCATGAGAAACACTTGAGTACATACCCAGAGCAGTGCTGCAGGTGGACCATAGGAGACCTAACTACACTGAGATTTTCTGATCCTGCAGGTATACTGGTCTAGCCCTGGGATGATGTATGATCACCATAAGGAAGAGTTTTCGGGTAATATTAGAACTACTTAGACAACTAGCTGTTTGCCAGACTGGGGTTTTGACTTCCTGGTGGCTATTTTTGCTGCAGAAACAGAAAGGCTTTGCTTCTTTGAAGCCTTCTTGGAGTTTTATTTGCTTCCTCCTTGCTAATGATTATGGCACAGTTTTTCAGGCATGTGATTGCTCCATCCCACCTCAGAGACACCCATGTCCTGGCCAGGATAGGGAAATCCCTATTTATGGCAGGGTGTGAGCACCAGCTGGCTTGCCCTTGCACAGATATCTATCAGCAGGCAGTGCAAAATGCTGCCAGTTTGGAATTGCTCCTACATTTGGAAGTCCATGCTGTGCTAGTAGAAATGTAAGTTCAAGGGACAAACCAACATACTTGTCATGGTATAAGGCTAGTAAGTCATAAAGCACTTCTAGAGCCACACTTTCACAGTGAAAAAGCACTGCTTGAATGTGGTTTGTTATTCTATACTGCATATTAAGAAAGCTGTTCTTTTGCCTTCATCATTATAAATGATGTCTTTGGGAGACTGGCAGTCTCTTCTTGCTTCCCTCCCTCCACCCCATTTTAAAAACATTCATTGTTGCAGGGATATATCTTTCAGGGCTTTTGGCCCAACTCCACTGCTGGTTCATAAGGCTGATTGTCTTCAGAGGAGTTACACCAAAAATGCATTTGGCCTTTTGTGCTTGGAATATAATTGGTGGAACTGGTTAGACACCGGGTTTGGGACCTGGGATTGCAATTAGAGCAATGTCAACATAGTTTTCAACGTGACTAGTGATTTAGGGTCCTCCACTTTGGGAGTGCAATTCAAGGTTTCTTAACTGATCTTTTCTCTGAAAGTGGGGAGGAATCTGTCTGGGGATCAAAAATATCCCCAGATTCCCATTAGTGAACCCACTCATATTGTTGTTTATTAGTAATTGGTAACCTGTATCATTAGTCACTCTGAAAAGTCTTACATATATTTTATATGGCGGTTGTTTATATTCACTTTGCTGTTGGTCTCAACCTTCATTTGAAGAATCTTGACCTCCCTTATTAATTTTCCATATGTTAAGCCCTCATTAGGTTAGTGTGGGTTATGCCCAGAGCATCCAAGAGACAATATATTCCCTAGGCATGATCAGCATAATTATAATTAAGCACTTTGGACCAGATCCTTGTCTCATAAAAATTGGTATAGCTTCTCTGAAGGCAAGGACAGATACCAGGGATGGAAAGGGACCCTTTATCTTAACAGCTGTAGCCCTGCAGATGAGTTCCCAATGATTTTTTAAGCTCTCATTTTGTCTATGGCTATTAAAGATCCTCTTTGGTGAGTATTTGTACAGCTGCATTTTTAGGACTTTGTGACCTCTACATCATCTCACAAGAGACCTTTTGCAAGAGCAGTCATATGAAATGCTCTTAAAATGATTGAAAAATGTATTCATTAAACTGTGTGAATGCTTTTCCCTGTCAAAAACCTTGTAAATGCTCATCCATCTGTGGTGTCTATGGTGGCAGTATGCTGACATTTTCCATTCCTTGGCTAACCCCTGCCAGCCCAGAACTACACTTTCTGTTTCTGGCCTTCAGTAGCAGTTAAAGAGTAGAACCGAACTCCCACATAGAAGACCTGGTATCTATGCTTCCACATCACGAAGCATGCCGATAGACACACCAGGGCTGTGACCAGATTGAGAGCCATCTGCAGAAGTAGGTACAGGTTGAGCATGCTAGTGAGGCTGTCACAGTCAGCTGCATCCTGGTAGATGAAGGTTCTACCAAGGGGGTCTTCAGTGTCCAGTTTGCACTGGCAGGACTCAAAGATGGTGTTGCAGGTAAATTTTGTCATCTGCAAATAATGGTGTGCAGCAAAAGCCACTGCCAAAACACAGGCAACCAGACCCACGGCGCTCAGGAGAAAATACATCAACTGAAAGAAAACAAAGAAAAAGAAAAAATAAAGAAAAAATCCTCATTTTTTCCAGCTACATGGGTAATGAGGAACACAGAATGAACACTTGCATATGGACTTCACATGGAACACATGCATTCAATGTACTACCTGGACACTGTATTCTTCAAAAATTGCAAGATAGCTATAACTCCCAAGTGATGCAAAGTTTAACAAGTGAGCTGGTTCCTGCTGGGATAGAGCTTATTTTTCTTCCTAGTAGCTAATACAGTGCTGTGGTTTGGATCTAGGCTGAGAATAATGCTGATAACACAGCAATGTTTTAGTTGTTGCTGAGTAATGCTTATTCCAAGTTAAGGACTTTTCAGTCTCTCATGCTCTGCCAGTAAGGAGGGGCACAAGAAGCTGGGAGGGAGCAGAGACCCAAACTAGTCAAAGGGATATTCCATACCACAGCATGTCATGCTCAGTATACAAACTGGGAGGAGTTGGCCAGGACCCACTGATTGATTGCTGGTCTGAGACAGGCTGGGTATCCTCAGCGGGTGGTGCGCAATTGTATTACGTGTTTATAGGGGTTAATTCCTTTCTCTTTTTGTTATCTCCCTTTTTTATTATTATTGTTGTTGCTATTTCTGTTGTTGTTGTCATTATATTTTACTTTATTTCAATTGTGAAACTGTTCTTATCTCAACTCATTAGTTTTACCTTTTTCAGATTATCCTCCCCATCCCACCAGGGGCAGGGGGACTGAGCAAGCAGCTGCATGGTGCTCAGTTGCTGGCTGGGGTTAAACCATTGCAGCAGGTTATCTCAAGAACAGTATTTCTGCCTTGCATATTTTATATGAGTATTGCCTTGCAATTTTGAGACCTGAAGAAAGCACTGAGAAATCGATGTCTCTATACAGCCAGAAGCTTTAGAGAGAGGGAGTGAGCATCTTCCTTGTACCTGCATGGGCCAGAGTCATCAGCTGAGATAAATCGATAAAGTTGCCTTGAAGCAGAGCTGAGCAGACTGAGGCTCAGGCTGACATCCCAGGCTACTGAGAAGTAGGTGTTTTTGAAACTTTGTTCATGTGTTATTCCCGGCTCTTGGTTTGCATGCCCAAACAAATCTGATTTATACTTGCAAATCAGGCAGCGAGGTGGCTGATCTTCTGCTTGTGGCCCTGTGAATGCAGCCAGCCTACTTGCTTACCAGGTCCTACTGTGGAGCACGAATTCAAATCTCCACAAAAAGTGCATGCTGTGCTCAATCTCCCTCTAAAACTTGCCCCATAAACATGGAGGAGAAGTCTTTAAAGGTGTGAAAGAGCAGTGAGCGCCCTTTATATCTCAGCGGTATGCCATGAGAAGAACAAGGGTCTATTTGTCACCCCACTACTCCTTGCACCAGTGGTAGCTTCAAAATAGGGTGGCTTTTATCAAGAGTAGCTATGTAGAATCCACCCCCACAAATACATGGAAACTGGCAGCAACTCAGACCCTTTGTCGCTCTGAGTTACACCTGAGACCTTCAGATACCAGAGCATATGGACTTCCCTTACTTTCGATAGCTGGAACTGGCAGTTGCTGTGCTGCATACAAAATATGTGTGAATGTATTTTAAAATCATATTCTGTGTTTAGCCAAAATAGCATTTTTGGTTCTGTTCAGCACTGTAGAAACATTTATTTTTCTTGGCGTCTTATCTGTCAGACACATGGCATGGTTGGGAATCTGTTATTTTAAACAGCAGCTTCTCTCTTTCTTAACCTCAATACTGCAAGCAAACTATCAATATAAAAGCATTTTTTATGACCTTGAAACTCCAAGTATGTATGTCTTGATAAATTTCATGTTCCTGGTGTATTTCTCTTCTGTCTACAGCATTGAATCAATCTTCCTATTCATTTGCCAGTTTGAAAAATAAAATATTTGGGCTTATTACAGATCTTAAAGCACTGTATAAATTTTCTCCCCAGATCACCAAATCCTTAAAGCAAGATCTTAATTTGCAGGACTTGGCTACTATTAAATTTATTGACTTCCTGTGCAGCCTTAAACCAAGAGCAGTTTCAAAATGAGGGTAGCTCTTATTAAATGCAATAACTTTCAAGGAAAAGGTCCATAAGAAAGGTGAAGTTGGAGAATGGGGACACCTCCTCATATAAACCACAGAAAAAAAATGGAGAACTACTGACTGATGGGCCCCTTTACAAGCAAAGATATGGTAATTCATAAACTGACGGCATTACTTTAAAAGATGGTGCAAATGTGTTTGATAGAGAAAACGGAAAATGGACATTCTCTGAGGGATGAAAGTTGTGCAATGTAGGAGTCCTAGTGGACTGTCTGGAAGTCCCCAGATTCACACCAGCAGAAGACAGAATCAGGCCTCCCTAATAAATGAGATATTAAGCCAAGACTACACGATGTGCCTGATTCTCCCTTGGCAGGTATTTTATTCAGCTGCCAACTTCTACCCAAAGTCAGGACAAAATAGGGTGAAATCCACAGCCTAAGCTACACTCCAAGTACAGTAAGCAAGAATTTGCTTGTTCTGTACCTAAAGGGAAGGAAATCCCAGTATCCAAATTACATGGGCAGCTCTTCCAGCAATCCTCAGAGCTGAACAGAGATGCATGGGGCCATTGGCGATTTCCAAATAGCTTATTATTCTCACAAGATGTTTGCAGAGGAATCTCTCTGCAAGCTGCTGAAAATGAACACATTTCCAAATATCAAAGGTGAGGCAAATGCAAGTACTGCCTGTGAGGGAGTACAAGACAACAAGTGCTGAGATCCCATCAGCAGATCAACCACATGCCAGCCCTGGAGGCAACTTCGCAAATACAACCTTGTAGTAAGCTCTGCCCACAACCATAACTTGCCACTGGAAAACCATTTTTTAACAGCTTCAGAGAGATAGGCATTGCAATTGCTGTTTGAATAGAAGGAGGAAAAGGAAGCAGGAAGAGACATCATATGACGAGGTCAGAGCATGGCAGCTCTCCCTCCTCCAGGTTCCTTATATGAAGAAGAATCTTTTAACAATATTTACTAGCAAAAGTTTTGCTCTGTGCCAAATAAAATTCAAGAACCTAAGATGGATCGAGTTCCTTGTGGAAAAGGCTTCTCATAGTTGTCAGCAGTGAAACCAGAAGTGTTTGCAGACATGGATCCAGGGGACCTCTTTTGAAGGTGGTAGTGACTCAGGCTCCCTGTGCAGGGAGCAGGAACCGCAGTGTGTGCTATGGTGTGGGAAGCTGGGGCTGTGCGAGCAGGAGGGTGTCATGCTACTGTGGAAGATGCTGTGAAGAGGACCACAGTGAATGATCTGTCAAATATTAGCAGATAGCCCAGGAAGTCCACAGGAGATCTCAAGATTTTCCTATGTGGGGTTTTTTGGTTGGCTGGTTTTGGACAAGGGAAGAGGATGTCCCCTCTCAAATACACAAGTAATAGCTGGACATGTGGCTTTGCCATATTACAGAGCATGCTTCCTGCTGATGCAGAGATGGGGCAAGGCAGAAATTTAGCCTGGGACTTGCCATTGCTCCCACCAAAGTGCAAAGCCACCCTCCCTTTGGGTGGTGGTCTTCCTTTTCCCTGGATGCACAGGGTGTTGTGAATACCCTCAGTCTCATGAAGAGATTTCTGCCAAAAGGAGTTCTAACACCTCCTCCTTTAACAGGATCCAGGGCTCATGCAAGTGTGAAATGAAAGAAGCAGCTGTTGAGAAGGAGGAAGGCAGAGAGGACTGCACATGTCTCCTGCTGTTTCCCACCCCGAGGGAGTCACTCACAGTGGTCATAGAGTCACCTCAGGGGTTAACCAAAATCCCCTAGGCCTGTGACTGTGTATGGTCCTCCTTCCAAAGTGACCCTTGGGCTAGGCAAGGGGTTCCAGGGTGCTCTTTGCACTGCAGAGAAGTCCAGCCAAAATTTTCTTCTAGGGTGATGCTCAGCAGCCAGTGCAGTTTCAGTGGGCACCAGCCTGAGGGCAGGGCCTCGGCTAGGGAGCAAGTCCCTGGGAAGAGAGACACAGCAGATAGGGCTGAACCCAACCACGCTGCTAGACGAAACATCAGGCCCCCAAGCAGGAGAGAATGACCAGAGTTACTTGGCTTTGTCTCATGATTGCAATTTTGCATCCTCAGCCTTGTGACATTTTTTGGTTCAGAGACACCTTTCACTGACATCTGAAGATCTGAAAAGTGATATTGGGGATTTAGATGAGTCCTAAAGTGAGATGTATGACCAAAGGGCTGGAGGAGACTCTTAGCTCCAACTTGGTTTAAAATAGGTATGTGCTCTGCAGCCAGAAGCCCTTTCTTCAGAAAGGCAGCAAAGGGGGTAGGCACTGTGGAACAATGGCTCCCAGTGCGAACATAGGACAGGAGAGATGAAAAGCCTGGTCAAGATGCAGTTTTGTGGCATGCTGCAATAGGAAACCTGGGGAAGGTAGATTTTGGGGAGGAGAATGCCTCGGGTAGGCAGGAGCCCATGGGCTATGGACCGAACCAGAAGTCTTTCAAGGGAGACTTCAGCTCTAATTCTGCCAGGGGATGAGGAATGACCCATTTTACATTTCCTGGGGAGCACTTCTACATTCTCGCTGAAGCGATGGCTCATGCTCCTCACTGCCAGGGTGGGCGGTGTTACTAAGGGTGGCAGAGACATCTGAGCTGCCCAGCCCAACATGCCGTTCCCACCACGAGGGATGACTCCCTTCCTGCTCGGATGCCAAGTTCAATTTAATGCTGCAGGGCAAGCAATAAAAAGCCTGGCGTGGCAGCTCCCGCCCAGCCCTGCAGCTCCCTGGGCAGCTATAAGGCTTACTTGCGGGTGTAAAGGTGATGGGTGAGAATGAGGAGGCAATCAAAGGGCAGAAACAATTGTTGTTCTTCTCCCTTTCTTTATGTAAGTATGGGAGAAGCTTGAGAGAGGCACAAAAGACACACCGGGGTCTAATTTCTAAAGCGAGGATGAATGCCAGGTTTCAAAAGCCACTCCTTGCGTTTTATTTCCTTCTGCCTTTTTCAGTTAATAATCACTGTTATTTTGTGTTGCTTGCATCAGTATTTTTCTTGGTTGTTATGTGTCTGCAAAATATTAAGAGCCTGGAAAATTACAATAATAAGAAAAAATAGCCCAGGAAAATGGTGTTAAAAATGCCCCATCTGGACCAAGCATTCTTAGCCTTTCTTTTCTAGCCATTTACCAGTGTCAATGAAGAATAGGTTTGGGGACTAAGGCAGGCCATGGTGCATGGTTTCTGCACCTCTATTACAATGCTCAGATGGGAATTTGCTTAGTGGAAGAATGCTTTATTCTATGGTTGGCTAATGCTTTCCCATGTTCACTAGTGCCTCACCCTGACACAAGGCACCGTGTGCTGATACATAGCTATCAGTGCTCAGGTACAGCCTCTCTATCCCCAGCCATGGAGGTGGGCAGGTAGAGATTTGCAGCCACAATTTTTTATAGCCACTTGTGCCTATGCAGTTTCTTATATCATGGTGAGGAGCAAATCTGCTGGGAAGATGCTGAGATGCTTCTTAGATCACATTAAAAATTAAAACTTGATTAAAGTGGACCCATTTTATACCACCCTACATCTGCTCCAACTCTCTATGAGTATTTCTACTTTATCAGTAACCCTCAGTCTTTCACCGAACACTTCCCAAGTTATTCCAGCTTTGTTGATTCAGATCTCTTTGATATTCTTAAAAAATGGCAAAAAAAAACAACAAAAAAACATGTTCTGATTTGTTCTGATACTGCTCTGATTTGAAATATTCATTATTATAGTTTCTCCTTTATAGGCTACAGCTTCTTCCTTAGCTGCCTGGAAAATACCAGAAAACCATTCTTGCATTTCAGGTGCATTTTCACTTCTTTTCATGTGGTCTTAAAAATATCTCCAGTATCAGTTTTTCTATTTAACAACATGAGAAGGAAAATAAATTAAAGTTGAGGTACCTTTACTGTGAACTGCACACACGTCTTCTCATCAGGTTGGTATGAAATGCAAAGCATAACAAATCCCACTAAGGACACCACACAGACCTGCAACAGAAGACATATAAAATGTGTCAAAGTTAAAGAAAATAAACTAACAAAGCCACAAAAATAATTATTTCCTTTTTTTTTCAAGCCCAAACACCTTTCTGTGTTAGCAGGACCGTAACTCAAGGAGCAGTGTGTAAGTGAAGTTGTCCAAGTAGGGGCTACAGCCATGCATGTAAGAGCCTCGTACCTGTGGATGCACCTGCGAGGAGGGAAGAACTTTTACTTTACAGGCACTGATGTACGAAAAACTTACTCAGAGGGACATTTTGAATCAGATCTACAAAGACACAGCCCAGCAATAGCCTTGAGGATCTATTTTGAGGTTTTGTCTATGTAACTAATGATCAAAAAGGAGCAGAAGTCTTATGAAGTTGAACTTGCAAGCCCAAAGAGCACCATTCTGTGTACCACTGGGTGCTGCCAGGGTTTTTGTCACCAGTGCAAGTTGTAAATCAGTAACCATAGCTGCCATTGGATAAGAAGCTGCACAGTTTATACGGGTGGCTTTGACCCTTTCCTAGAGCAGACACCTTCTCAAAGAAGACATCTCTCCTGCAACCTGACACTGCATTTTAGCCCTGCGGCAGTAATTTCTGAAGGTTAACAGCAATGAAAAAGTATTTACGTACTTTATTATTGGTTTAACTGTCTTTATTATTCATTCTAAAGATTGAGATTTATTTGCAGGAGCATATATTCACTGGAAGGCATTTTCCAGCCATGTAAGGGGGAAGATCCTGCTCTGAGGAGCTAGCCCAGTATCATAAGCATTAGAAGGGACCTTAGCTGAGATCAGCCAGCATGCTTTCAGAGGTCTTGTCTTCACACATGGCCAGGAGCAAGTGTTGACCTCCTTGCTAGGAGCACCTTGATTATAAATGATAGGTATTAAATTCTCAGTGACAACAGCAAGAAACTGTATTTTTTCCCCCCTTCATTTTACTTCAGGGGGTTTGAAGACGTCTCATTAATTTGAGGTGTTCTGCTTTCCCAGAGCAGTGGGATTTGCCCTCTCAGGCCAGACCCAGGTGTGAGTTGCCTTTGCTCATGGGTGGGACTACACCATGGAGATGCCAGCAGGAGTGTGGGACTCCTTCACAGCCCCATCCCTGCCTGCTTGCTGTGTGTTCTGGCACTGCTGTTCACATCCAGATATCCAGCTCCATAGGGAACTGCTTGACCTGCAGTGAAAAATGCATAAGTGTCTTCCTAGACAGCAATGGTGAAACACATTTCCTTTATGATCTGATGCGTAAAGTACCCCAGTTTTCTTTATATCTGCATTATTGGTATAAGGCACTAGGCACCAGCCCTGTGAAGGAAGAGTGCCTCTCAATACACGGGTAGTCATGCCCTCAAGAACCTGTGTGATTAATAACACTTTTCCCCATAAAGTTTTATTTCATGTCATTTCAGTAGGACATGAATAGAAGTATTGCCCGAGAACATTTCTAAAGAAAGCGTCAGTATTATTTACTCCTTTCCATGTCATGTGTATTTATATTCTGGTCCTATGACTTACACATGGCCTCCAATTTATTTGTTTTCTTCTTTTTATTGTTGACAGCCATAGCTGACAGGGCTGTCGGGGGAAAAAACAACCTTCCTTGTCAAAGGTCCTTCAGTGCTGGATTTCTTTTTGCCCTATAGTGCTTCTACGTGACTCACCCATGTTTTATTTCTCAGGATTAATTACCTACGTCCTTGTTCCCTTGGACTGTGTATTAATCTTTTAATTCAATTAACATGCCCATAAAACTTAAATCTTAAGGACATCATATCTAGTGATACCCAAATGATAAATTCCTCCAGTGGCAGCAGTGACTGAAGGAAAGAACATGAAGTGAGAACTAAAAAATATTCTTAAATATACTCGCTTAACATTACATGCCCAAATTCATGTGAAATCAAAGGGGCTGCTCATGTCAAAGCTAAACCTAAGTATCTGCAGGATCTGGTGCTGAAGGACCTTGTTATGAGCAATAAATTAGACTTGCTTTGCTTCAGCTACACTAGTAGGCATTTATGCTTACAGGAACCGAGGCCAGATTTGCCTTCAGGTTACTCCTGTGAGACATCATGGGACTGTGCCTGTTTTCCCACAGAAAGCCGACAGAACTGCATTCATTGCCGAAGGCAGAGTCAGATACCAGCAGTAGGATACTCTCTCTACCACCAAGTGCCTCGCACAGCTTCTGCAAAAACCCCACCAGATTTCCATGTGGCAGGATCAGGTCTCTTCAGAAAGCTTCCCATACAAAAGACTGCCGTTTAAAAAGGTTTTCCATTCCTGCATGTGCTTTCTAAAGTTCCTCTGGGATTTTAATAATATACTCAGGGGTACTTGAAGAGGCACACTTGTAGAGAGGTACTTAGAAAAGATTACACTGGGTCAGGATTCCAGCGAGTCTTGGGCAGGATATTTCAGAAGGCTTAAATATTTCTTTTATAACAATATGCCAACATTTGCTTTTAACCAGGGATGCGTATTTTTGCAACTAAAAGTAAAAAATAATGTTGCTGAGAATTATGACCCATAGACGTTTTACATTTTAGTTCTTTAAAGGTAAATTCGATCATTGGAGCAAACCAAAGTGTGGAACATTTATACAGAAAACGGCTTTATGCTCCTATTTTATACATTATTAATAGACCAGTTTTGAATTATACCTGTGAAGTGTAACAGAATAACTTTAAAAATCCTCTGCTAAATATTTTTTAGAACCCGCTAAGTAACTAAGACAGCTGCAGGCACATTACGGATGCTGTTGATGCTGATTGCTAAGTAGCATTAGGTAATCCTGTGTCCTAATGCTTCAATAGCCACTGCAATATCCCAGCGTGAGGCATACATTTCCTATGCCTTATTGACTAAGCACACAACATAAAATGCAGTTGAACTTGCTTTAGCACTTGCTTGCCACCAGTCGATACGTATTTGTTATACAAATAAAATAGATCCCATAAGAGCTGCAGAATAGCAGTTAATTAGATCAGCTTTTGTAACCGTAATCTGGAAAGCCAGAAATATGTATTTCTGTGCTGAGTAAATTTCAACTCAACTTCATTTCAAGATCCTATTTCAAAATTTCCAGATGGACTAACACCATTTGCAGAATAGGTAGTGGTATGAAAGGCTGTCCAAAGAAAGAATTTATATTTAGAAAAGTGCTGCCTAGAAAAAGACCCGAATGCAATACAGAAGTATTTAGGAAGGGTACAGATTTAATTTTGGTTAAGGCATACCCTGGGAAACATCCCAGTCCACAATCCTGGGAAAACAGCTCATTACTAGAGCTGGCTAAGAAACTTGAGAAGTTTATGCTGTAGAAAAGTTTCAATACTACTTTTTTGTTTCATGGGAAGCAATAGACCTTCCTTCCACTGCGCAGGAACATCTCAGGGTGGAAAAGTCACTTAAGAATTATTGGGTTTTAAACTACAAAGTTGAAGTAGACATTTTCCAAGTTGCCCCCACCCCAAAGAGGGCTAGAGCCTGTTGTCATGAGAACTGAATCAATTTTCTATGGATTTAATCAGGAACGGAACCTGACCCGACTGCATTGAAGAGTGGGTCCCAGTTAATTTGCCTGGAAGGATCCCTGCACTCACGGAGATCTAGTGTGCAGTCCTTGGCTCTTCAGGACTTTGGCAAACCAGCTCTCCCTGCATGCTAGCACAACTGGGTGTTTCTCACAGCTTGGAGCCTCACACACTGCAGCAAAATAGATGGCTCAACAGTGAGACTGCAACCATACCACAGTACACGTTCAATACTTGCAAGGAGCATGCTTTTACATATCTTAAAACCAGAACTCAAGCAGTAAATAAGATCAGTTTCAGCCTTTGTGTACCCCAAATCCTTCACCATCAGCTTTACTTTAGCTGGTATCACTGTGCTGAAGAGCTCCAGCTACCACTGAAACTCAGCGGGTTGACACCCTGCCCAGCATGGTGCCAGCATCCTCCTGCATCAGCCAAGCCTGTCCCTCCCACTAAACTTATGACACTTCTTAAAAGTGTCATGGGTGAGAAAAACAGGCTTGTCATCTCCAACAGGAACACACAGATGGCAATGCAGAAGGGTGTTTGGACAGAGCCCACAGATATTGCCACCCAGAGAGGACCACAAGGTTTGGGGCAAGGGAGCCGCTCTCCCTGTCCTCAACTCCCTGCAGCTCACTCATCTCTGGTCCTGCAAGGACTAAGCGTAAGGTGTACGAGCAGCACAAGGGCACCACATGGTAGTGATGAAGATGGGTACGTAATGTATGTAATTTGGGGAAATATGAACGCATAAAGCACATATTTCCGCTGTGGTTTGCATTCATTACCTTTGCATGCTAATATATTAATGTGGTTTGCTTTATTTTGCCAGATTTCAAACCACAGATTTCTCTAATGTCTGCATCTCTCCTTTGTCTACTTGTGAAACTGTCTTTTCTTTTGTTACTGCTACAGTTTTAGCCTGAGTGTTGCTATAGACTAGGTGGTTTTCGCCAGCAAATTGTTTCCTACCCAGAGCATCTTTGAAACTCTGGCACGTGGGTAAAGAGGGAGAGTTAGAAACCACCAAGAAATAAAGGAAGGAGGCAACAATCTGGTTCAAAGGAGCATCTTTGGTCTATGCCATAACACAAGACAAATGCTGCAGCCACTCACAAAGAGATAGTATAGGTCATCAGCTCTTGGTATGGGGGCTTGTTAGCAAGAACCTCCTGCAACAACCTTTAGGGGCAGAAAGCAAACACCTTGGAGGACAATACCTCTCAAGCATATACGGTGCAATACCACACAGCATTGCTGAGACCCACAGGTGGACTCTTCCTTTTTAATAAGAATGTAACCTCTCAACCTTCAGGGCAATGATTATTGTAATAGTGAAGAACTTTTCATTATGGACAAGTTATTTTATCGTTACTCACTTCAAAACACTAAGGATCTTTCTGTTTGTAGAGACAAGGGTAAAGAACTTTTCTATCTCTAGTAGCTATCTC